GCCTCCATTTACCGACCGTGCGGTGAGCTACGAGGTGGGTTGCAGCCTCTATCACCCACGTATTATGTAGCTTCTCTTAAATGAAAGAATTTTCATGATCAGATCAGTATGTCCGAAGATTACAAACAAAAATAGTTAGGAACTTTACCTTTTTACAATATAATATTAGTATAGAAGAAGAGACAGAGTAAGTTAATCAGTGTATAATTTCCTACGTAATTGCGAAATATAGGAAAAAACTTAACTGTGGCATAATAATATTTTATTATTCATTACAATAGGTATATCCACAAGTATTATGGACCATTTACGAGAAGCCAGTAGCCGAGACAGTCCAATAAGCCAGGCCAGTATCGGCCTTGTATAAGTAAATGGAGACAAATCCACAAGTCAGTCCAATGATATAGAACGGTATCCAATTCACAGAACTGGCTTACTTCTTCTTGGCTATTGGCTTCGTTTAAGTTCATTATGCGCAAGTTATAAGTTGAACCAAAATGTCAACTCAGTAGCACATTTTCGGGTCTCATTCGAGGTGTGCGGGTCGGACTCGGTGTGTAACCATAGCAACGCATAACGATACCGGAGACCACAACGGGATCCGGACTCCGGAACCCGAAACCTACTCGGGGAATTAATATTTTGATTTACCTCACATTCTGTAAGTTTGGATACAGATATCGTTTCAATATTTTTCTTGTTAAAAAAAGAGAAAAGTTCAGTTACGAAGACAACAGGTGTTAAAATTCGTGTACTGATTATTTTCTCCCTGTATTATTAACTCTTTGGTCTAGAGTGGTTTAACGATGTATTGTTTTTAAATGTCACGGGTTCTTAGAATGAAACGACAAATAATTACTAATATTTCTATGTTCGAATTATTGTTTATTGGTTTTCGAAATAAGATTGTTTCTTTTTATTATTAATAATAATAATTAATTAAGAAGTAATAATCGTAAGAGAATCGTCTAAAGACTACCGTTAACTTATCTTTGACCGACCGGCATATTTGTAGTCGGATAAAGATTCAATGAATTAATCAGCATTTATGATAGAAAAATACTTGTAATAGACATATTGTGTCCATATCGATTTTTTTTAATAATCTTTAGGTGCTCTTCAAGTACAAACTTCTTATTTTTCAACTACAAGTATGGTGGCCAGCTTGTGAACTAATAGTAATAAATGTTATAATCGATCTATTTCCAGCTTTGATTTGTTTTTTTCTTACAAATAAAATATTTTCTATTACTTCAACGGTCGAAATTTTTCAGTTAAAAAGGATTAACAATGTGAAAAATTTGCTTAATTATCCGTTGAAATAAATAATAACATTAGGTAACATATTTGACTTTTTGAAGATTTAGTTATAACTCATATTAAAACAGTGTTTTGTAACAATTGTAACCGAGCAAATGTAAAGTTAAATATAAAAGTACGAAAGTCGGTGCAAATCTGACGATAAAGCCGTCAAGCGTATCACGGAAGTATCCGTTCCGTATATTTATACGTTCCATAAATTTATCCGTATATTTATACGGAACGAAGCATCCGTCTTCTTCTTCTTCTTTTATTAATGGCTGATCGGCGCATCTCGCACAATTTTGACAATGTCAAGTGGACATATTAATTTCTACATGTGAAATGAAATTCAAATTCATGTGTGCAACGTAAAATGTTACATTATTTGCCAGCTGTGACGCATTTTTGTCAGATATGCACAAACACCAATAATTATTTTTAAACTATAGTTTATACGCTTGGATTTTTAACTATACAAGAAAATATTTGCAAAATAAATTGATTAATAAATTCCTCTGTTTCAATAAAATCGCCAAACGCTGTCATCAAACATAAAATGATTTGTACATAATATTTAGTAGATGAACTAGTATGGGGGATTTCATAGTACTTCTATGAAGTTTAAAACTATTTTAATAGGTATAAAATGCAATATAAAATTGTGTGATTTTTAAATTTCATTAGCAAATATTTATATTTTTTTATAAAACCAATGTAATATTTTCTTGGACAGCTAAAAAAATACGGTATATGAATATTTAGATTACATCTGGATCAATAAACAGATGTTTAATATATGTTGTCTTTTACACTGAAATACAAAAAGATAGAAAGGAGAATGCCCATTTTCTAAAGGCACCGTGATCCACATATAAATCTTCTGTGCCTCGAAAATTTTATTATTCTACAAAAGTGGAAAGATATCATTATATAGATCAGTAAATAGTTTTAATTTTAAACGTGAGTGAGACGTAAGTCATCCTTATATTAAATGTTACATGTTGTTTTAATATGAAACTTAATCAGCCCCCTGATTGTCTAATTTTAAATCTATTGCAATCGCTTTCAGTTTGAAAGGTGTTGCACAACCATTGCTGCATAATACAAATACTTTTTTTTCAACTGTCTTCAGAAACAAGCAATGGTTATACAACATCTTTCAAACCGAAAGATTTTAAAGTTAGACAATTAGGCCCCGGATCACAAACATTTTGGAAATAATTTCACCATATCCATGATACCCTCCCTTACAAAAGTGGTCAATTAGAGTCTGCCGAGTGATTTAGTAGGATATTAAATAACCTATATGTTAATTCAGACTTAGAATTATCCAATTACCAATTTTCACTAAAATCCCTTTAGTAGCTTTTGCGTGAAACATTAACAATCATACATGCATCTATCCTCACCAACTTTCGTATTTTTAATATTAGTAGGATAAACTCGTACCTGTCTAATTTATATTTAAGCCTATGTTCCGCTGTCAATAACAGTTAGTATTCAATATTGCTGATATAAATTAAACAAATAGCTTAATTGTTATTTCCCATTATTAGTCTTAGCCTGGTATAATTCTGTCCTGCCTGAATAAAAACATAAATTAATTACAAATAATGGAGATGTCTTCAAACCAAACAAACAGATGTATAATTGGAAATTATATAAAATAAAATTGCTTCTGGCATTTTAATATCAAAAGTGTTTAAAATGTTGGGCATTCTCCATTACCTACCTCATAATATTTAAAGCAGCCACAGTGTAGTAGATTTTACTACAAAAAAAAAGAAAATAAGCAAAGACACTATAAATATTTATTGCTTACTTTGTACGTCTACTTATTCAATTATTTTAAAAGTATCGGATGACAAAATACAAATTAATATACCAAAATTAGGAAAAAGTATACAGTTCTTCAAGTTAAAGTTAAATAAATAAACCCCTTGGTATTTCTTATTATAAATATCAGTGTCATGTTATTATATCACATTTATTTGTAGGTTAAATTAAATTTAAAGCAATGACTAGACTTCGATACAGATAAAGCGTTCACTTCGATAGTTCCATTTTTCTTCATTAATTAACCATTATTAATCTAGTCTAACCTTAATTAACGAGGTCTAAATTGCACGTTTCATTAACTTATCACTTTAAATCTATATTTACAAAATATCTTTTAAAAATATTATTTATAATTTGCGAAGTTGATAGTTTTTTTTTTAATGTTCTCAAGCAGTGGTTATGGGATTTTTCCGTTACGGCATATCCACTTAATTTTTTAATACCATACTGGTAATTTAATAAGAATATGGTGTTAAGGATATTATTCTATTGCATTATGAGAAAGAATTTGACAAAAAAACAGTTTTTTTAATATTAAATATTGCTTGTAACATATTGAGCATACCCACACTGTATTTTGGCCTCTAGAATTCAATTCAAGAACAAGATTGTTCGAAATAGGAGCATATCGGTGATAAATTAAACGCAATTTATCATTGTGATCAACTGAAAAAAAAAACAAAGTCTATGAAGAGTAATAATCTTGGCTTCATACAGTGAAAATTGTCATAATAAAGTGTGCACGAATCCGTCACCGTTGTACTAATTCCTTTCAATTTAGTAACTATTTATTTATGTATTTCGAACTAATAATGATTTATTTACAAATGAGTTTCATAAAACTATTTTGGCTAAATGTCACTATTAACTTCTTAAAATCTAAAATTGTGCCATTTGTGAATTATTACTTTTTTTTTTTTTGCTATAATCAATATAAAAACTAACAATCGAACATAAGTAATTTTGTAAATTCTACAAAGTACTATCTACAACTTAAAACGACAAAAGGTTTCTTACAATTATTTTGTACAATTCAATGATACAAGAACAGAAAAATCTAACAAATTTCAATAAATACAATTTAAACGATATTATATTATTACTGTGGGCAGGGCGGGGCAAGCGACACGAACACTTAGGGTTATCTCCGTAGCGGCACATCTCTCACCGGGGCACAGTCGCATGGTATAAAACTTTAATTATGATTATAGAGGGCAGTGCCTTTGTGCGAATCGAACTGTCGCGCAGTGAGAGTATGGTGTGGAAGGAATGATCCGCACGCATCGGGCGGCATGCTTTCTCCGCGCCATACGGCATCGTGGCACAGCCGCTGCCGCCGCCGCCGCCGCCGCCCGCTCACGCACACACCCTATTGTATTCGATGTATTCGAGGACACCTACGGTTGTGTCCGAGACTCTGCGACTCGCAGCCATGAAGTTACTAACATTAAACACAGAATATTGATATTTGCAAGGCACATTCTTTTAAAAATCCTGAATTTCTTTCTTTTTAATGTAAGTTCATTATATTATATTCGATGTTCCTGAAACATCTAAACGCGGCGCGTCAAAACGAAACGGTGTAACGAAGCGACATCCATTATTGTAATGATATGTATATAATCAATTATATACCCTGTGTCTCGAAAAATATAATATAAGTCATCGTACAGTGTACAAAGAAACGTAAAATCGGTTCATATACAATATCTACATTAGTGTATAATTGCTGTTCGACGAGAAGTATGTCGAAGAGTTGAGATCGAAACGAGATCGTGGTAGCGGGGCGTGGTGCGATGGCGGGGGCGCTAGTACCCGTAGCCGCCGGGATACAGCAGCGCCGCGCCGCCGCCCGCCGGTCAGTGCTGCGCCGCGAACTTCATACGCTTCTGCTTTTGCCGCTGGTTGCAGAACCACACTCGCACCACGTTCTTCTTGAGGTCGAGCTTCTCCGCTATGGCAGTGATTTTCTCTCCGGAGGGTCGCGGCTGTACCGCGAAATACGCTTCTAAGCTGCGCTTTTCTGGCGCGGCGATAGAAGTTCGCTTGCGTTTCTTTTCACCGGCGGGGAGAACGCTCGGCGCATCGGGGTCTCGTCGTTTATTCTTAGCCTGCGCCTCGGCTTCTTCGAGCCACGCCTGAAGTATAGGTTTAAGCGCGATCATATTGTTGTGGCTGAGGGTTAAGCTTTCGAATCGACAGATGGTGCTTTGCGAGAGTGCACCGACGCCAGGCAACTTGAGGTTCGCTAATGCTTTGCCGACGTCCGCTTGAGTGACTCCGAGCTTTATGCGTCTCTGTTTAAAGCGCTCGGCGAACGCTTCTAGTTCTCGGGGATCTGTGTCGGTGTCCGGATGTAATGCGGCTGCGGGGTGAGCGAGGTGCGAGGGAGGGTGAGCCAGTGCGCCCGCGTGGTGATGGTTCATGACGTGATTCATTCCATAGCCGTGAAGCTGGTGATGAGGTGGGGCGGCCTCCCCCATTGGAGCTAGCGTGGTCATCGACGAGGAGGACAACGGGTCCAGCATGTCCAGCCCCTCCATGCCGTGGTGCCCCATCTGCGAGAAAAAAGACTTTGTAATTCGTTTTATCTTACTGCCAAATACTCAATCGAGAGAATTAAAGCTAACAATTATTATTCCTCGCTGAATTAACTCCTGTATTCATGTTAAATCGCACGTTTTATTGCACCCCTCTCTCGCAACAATGGCACTCGAGGCCTATGAAACATAAACAATCATCTTTGTACAGATTTGTAGTGATGCTTTATGAGTGCAAACACTTGTATTTTTTTCATGGGGGCGAGTCTGTTGTGACGTTGATTGGGGGTGAGTGTTCTGCCAATATGCTTCGGCCTTTGGCTTTGTTAGGCAAATGATTTTCTCTAGTGGGTAACAACATGTGTAGTGATCTATTGATCAATCGCACACTTGCATTATGAGTCGAAATACTTCAGTAAAGAGAAGATTCAGAGGTTTAAGTAGTATTTTAATTAAACGACTTCAAAATAGAGAGACCATTATATATGAAGTTTAGTTAAATGTTACAATATTCATATAATATGTCAGCCTTAGTGGGCTTCTAAGCATTTTTGCTTAATCTAAGTGTGTTCAAGTATATATTTGATCGCATATTTCTAAAAAACAAAAAACCAAATTGCAACTATGGTTTTGTTATAATACATTAAAATGTCTTAAAGAGTACAGTTCCATAAGAGTCAGTCCGCCAGTAAAATTATACTCAAGCTTTAGTCCAAAATCTTCTGATGACTTTGCAATTTCACAATCTTTCATTGTGTATGCCGCAAAATCTAAAACATAAAAATGTACCTGAGTAACGATTTAAAACTAAAAATATTTAACTGTACTTAAAACTAAAATCTATCAAAATAATTATATCTTTAAGATTTCACTTGTAGTGAGAAAAATAGTGCCACCAATCTGACTCCAACCCAACATTAATCATTTTTATAATATGCATATGCTTAGTAGCCAGCGGCGTCCATAAACACCCACTATACGTTGCAACGAATTTTCCGTTACAACACTCGAAAAATTCAGTTAAAAAAGAACAATTAATTCTGGAAGGAGGTACAATTGGTCTTACCAGGGCTGTATATCTGGCTCTGTGTAAGCGAGCCATAAGTCTTTCGCTAACAATTTCTCGAGCCACGACCAGGGGTAAGTTAAAGAATAGCCCCTTTTTACTTTGAACCTTACTTTCTTATATACAAAGTCGCTTTCAGGATAACAAGTGAACTCTCTCCCAGGGGTGCTGTATATCACAATTAAGTGCGCATTACACGTAGCGTGCGTACCGCTTGGACTATCTTTTCCACTATTTTTAAAGTATATGAAACACACAGCGGTATTAGAAACGAGAAGTTACTGCTGTTTATCCAATCATATTTATCATTTTTTATTTAACCTGGTGGGCAAATAATGCTTAAAATAGTTTTCGAAATATGAGTTATCAATGATACTTATTTATTTGTAAGAAATAAAATCATTTATATGTGTAAAACATTTGCAACAATTTTATAGATCAGGATATGTGCTCGAAATCATAATTATTTAATCGCAATCATTATCATGTTGATTTGACACGATTTTTAATATACAAAAAATGGCACGGAAATAATGAATGAGTAATTTAACAATTCATTTTATCGTCAAATAACACCCAAATAAGATCTAATTAAAAATAAGAAAATAAACATCATATTTCTAAAGGTTGTATATGAATCTATATTTTTTTCTCTATAGAAAAAGAAAACAAAAGTTGTACTTCTAAAAGTTATATTTCTATATCTCGTAATGATACTATATTTTTGTATGTGAAATTGATAAATATATGTCACTTTGAACTTCATTTAATGTTCTAAATTCAAATAATAAAATCGTAGCCAACAACAATGGGATTAAATCAATTTAAATACTTTTAAAGCTACTTTGCTTCAAAGCAAAGCTTGGAATTTTGAATTTAGCAATAATAATAACTAACTCAGTATTCAGTTGAATCTCTGGAAATACTTTCTAGACAAATTTTTATCCCTGTTAGTTTTTCTACAGGCATTTATGATAAAAGCACATTATTATGTACTATTAACACGTACATTTTTGGTATCGAGCACAAATGCCAATCATTATAATGATATTTGCATATTTACTTACCTACACAAATGGAACTGAAGTCGTAAATACGAAAATATGGCATCTCACTCTCATTCATAAAAAGATTTTACAAATTATGCACTTTTATTCAACAACTATAATATTGGACGAGAAAAAAGGCGATATTTGAGTCTAAGTAATTATTTAATCATATATTTTTATCCAAAAGACGAGAATTTTAATGAAGAACTCTTCATAGCTAATAATAATAGTAGTCTAACTATTAACGTATCTTATTTCAGTCCAATTCTTGTTATTTGATGAAAATATCTGGTTATGACACATTCTCAAGTAATTAATTCTCTCGACTATAGATACGAGGATTAGATAGATATACATCTATCTCAATTCTTAAATCATATGATAAAAAAGTATTGTTACTTTTCCGTACCGTAATTTCGCGTACATTATCTGGCGTAACCGCATCGAGGTATAACCGTACACCTGGCGTAGTACAGATAATACGCTACAATTTGTTTGGCCCACCCCACACATGAGACTACTGTGTGTCATTCTAGAATAATAAGGGTATGAACAACCCTCGCGTCACTTACCAGCGCTCGAATTAAAAATTAGCGCTGTCATTGACACTAGCTATCGATGTCGATAATTTTATAGTAGCTTAAATTGAACTATCTAATGAATATACAATTAATTTGTCGTTGTGACTGTTTCAAAGTTTTTATTTTTTAATTCTGACCAATTAAAGATTTTACGAACTAGAGGTATAGTGTTTCTTTCAGATAGGCATTGACTTTTGATAAGTTGTTATCGTTATATTAACACCTGAAGCAAAATCTTTGGACGCCTTCTAAGTTAACGATAACATTACATATAGTTCCACGTGTTTGTAACAAACACGCCTAGGCATGTGGTCAAACTGAGAAGATATTGATGTATAGCGTAAATAGATTTTGTAATATTATCGAATGTCCAAAATAAATAATCGCACCAAAGAGAGTGGCAACAGATAATATTTAATTTGTGTTAGTAATCCGCACATATGCGAGGCTATATTTAATATTCTATATAATAATTGCCCATGTTCTGACAATATATTATTTTCTTGTTGAATTTGACGACTTATAACATAATTTTTAATAACAGTGCAATTTCATTGAATCATCTTAAAAAATAATATATAATTTTACCAGTCGATATTTTAATGAAATGTCACGTCACTATTACGGTGTATGATGCGATTGCAAGTGGATATTAAATAAATTATATTTCGTTAATAGTGATTTGTATCACAACGTTATGATTTGGACAAGTGGCTGTTTTATTCGAGGTATAAATTTGGGGCCCCGAATTAAGCGACAAATGAAAATCAAAATTTGGTAACATTTTTCACACAGAGGAATTATTTCTTAGAGTACCATACCTATGTGGTCGATTGTTTACAATTATTAATGCAGGTACCCAGAAATATACTATTATTTATTTGAGACATTTTATACTTGACTATATGATTGTTATATATGAAAACTGTGACTTCGCTATGATTTAAATTACATTATTACTTCCCAGCATAAAATAGATTGAAATTATTATGGAGTCTGATCTACAGTGACTTGCATTAATTGCACTGATTTTCTCGCATCGTAAAGTATATTTTCAATATAAGCAAAATATAAATTTCTTAATAATAAATTTAGATGTTATTTAACTACTTAATTATGTAGCTAAATAACATCCAAATAAACTCTAATTAAAAAAATAAAATAATAACATATTTCTAAAGGTTTACATAGATTGATTGCAAGTATAACTCGTACGAATTATACTAGTGATAGTAGGTATTGTATAAATACTATCTATGTTAAAAAGCGATGGTGATTTTGGTTTCGCATTAACGTATTTTGCATGTTACACTGGTCGACGGGTTCATTTCATTATTCAATAAGACAATGAGCGACCAACGTAAGGGAATAACATAAATAGACCGCAATCCGCACGGTGTTGTCAGAAGCTATAAGAACGTTTAATTAAATCATGTCTCATATTTCATTATATATTTTCTTAAATTTGGTCTTAATAATGAATGATGTTATTAATTACCTGAAGGTAAATAACCACAGACCTAGACTGATTAGTATTAATATTTAGGTTTCATTCATTTTGAAATTTCATCCGTAAAAATACTATAGATTATTATTAGAAGTTAAAGATATATATTTATTACTTAAAAAAAAGCGCCATTGCAAGGGTTACGTTGTAAAAATGGAACGCTTATAGTTTAGCTATGTCTCTCTCCGTCAGTCAGTTAAAGTCTAAATTCTAAATCTAAGTCAGTCTAAATTCCAAATTACAGTTCTTAGTAGGTACTAAAAACTGTAATTTGGAATTTTAATTTGGCGTGAATATACATGTTAGTTACGCCAATAAATTTGTAAAAAAAAGAAGTTATTTTAGTGTACCTTACCTACCTGTAAAGTGGGGATGATATTTTTTTTTTCGTCTTGCCTATAGTGTGGGATACATTAGATAGTTCTTTCAAAAACAAACGGGGGTGTGTGAAGGCCGTTTGTCGATTTAATACATTGCTTGTGACTTATAAAGCTTTAAAGAGCTAATTTTTGTTAGGCAAGTGCCCCCCCCCCCCTAATAACTAAACGGTCGTTAATAAAGATTCCAACGTTATGGCAGTAGTACCTATGTATAACAAAGTTAAAAGAAAAACTAACACACTCAAGTTGTCTGTACAAGTTTACGAGTAACAGTCGACCAATTATATTTAACTAGAAAATTCCGAACAACTCCATAGAAATCAACAAAAGTGATATTATTTTTACTTTTTTCAATGGATTAAAAAGCCGTAATAAAAAATAAGTAACAACAAAAATGTTTTTATTACAACATTTTTGGTGTTGATATATTTATTA